GCGGCAGGCAGCTCCAGGAGAAGGTGAAGTTCTGTCTTGCTGCGCCCCGTTTCCCGCCGCATTGCGCACACACAGCAGCACCTACTGGTTCTCCTCCCTGGCGCCAGGCAGCGTGCAAGGGAAACAGAGAGGACAGTCCCCGCCGTTAGACCTGGACAGTCCCAGTCCAGCTCCCTGCCCAGAGAGCCTCTGGCCTCCATGACCTTCCAATGGGCCAACAGGGGGAGGGGCACGCAGAGCGTGGGTGTCCCAGCCAAGGAAGGCCTGCATGGCCCCCGTGCCCAGCGGGGAGGGTGCAGGCTGGGCTAACAGGTCTCCTGCCCCTGTCTCACCCAGCTTCTGGGAACCCAGCCCAGCCTCCCCTCTCGCAAACAGCTGCTTCCCAGCTCCGTCCCACCCCCACTGCAATCAGCGGGGGGGGGATCAGGCAGCCGGTGGGCCTGGGGCCCCGGATCCTGCCTCTGCAGGAGAGAGGAGAACCATGCGGGGAAGGGGAGAAGCCAGCTGGCAGGCACCAGAGACAAACCCACCAGACAGATGGGCCAGGAGGCGAAGCAACCCGACGAGAAATAGGGACGAGAGTCTCCACCAGAGGGCGAGTTGGGGTTTATTGCTCACAGGGAGAGCGTGAGCTAACCCGGGGAACGCGGGAGACCGGGCCTCCGCACAGGGGCAAGGGCAGACTGCGTATGGGTGGAGAGGGGGGGAGAACGCAGGAAGGGTCAGACAGGGGCCTGAGCACGAAGCTCACACAGCGAGCACGAAGAATCAACAATGCACAGCCGCAAGCAAGCCAGAGGAGCCCGGAAAAGGCGCCACATTCAGCTGCAGCGACAGACACACAAGGATCTCAGACGTGCTCAGGGACGCGGGTGCAGCGAGCGTCCACGAGGCCCCAGCTGTGCACGACTGCGTAGCTAAGTGGGGGAGGGACGTGGCCACGGTGGCTGTAGACAGGTACCAGTCAGCGCAGTCCACACAGGTGGGCAGATGGGAGCTGGACAGTGCTACGTCCTGCCCCCCAGGGTGGATCTACCAGCTGTCCCATGTCCAGCTAGGGATGGGTCTGCGGCAGCCAAGCAGGCCCAGGCCGTGTCTCCCCCTCCACGCCCCATCTCACAGCCCACGCGGCAGGGCTCGGGAGCAGAGCTGGTCCCGGGGCCGTGCTTGGCCAAGGCAGCCGGGGTACACGTGGAGGGGGGAGCTTACAATGTCTGGTAGGTGCTGTCCTTTGACTTGAGGAACTTGACAATGAAGTAGAAGACGGCCTGGACGCTGAGCACGAGGACGATGCCTCCCACGAAGCTGGCCGAGTCGAAGAGCCGTCAGCGTGGGGCTGGCTGTCGTCCCTGGGTGGGAGGAAGCAGCAACAGCGTCACTGGGGCCTGACACTGCATGCCCAGCCCTGCCATGCCGCACTCTCCTGGCATTGCCACCTGCGCTCTAGCTCCTGGCCACCCGAGCGGGCTCCTGAGCCCAGATAAGAGGGACATGCTCTAAGGTGCTGTAGGCCTCTCCCCAGGGAAGGGGCTGGAGGAAGAGACGGAAGATGCCCCAGGCTCTGGACTAGGCTCACTCAAAGCTCTCGAGGGGCATCCCAGCTGGAGAGAAGACTGCCCTCTCTGCCAACGCCTGGACTGGCCGCCAGAGATGAAGCTGAGGTTCTGGTTGGTTGGGGGTGAGAGTCACTCAAGATCCTATAGTATGTCCCCCAATCTCTTTGGGCAGCAGCATTTCTTCTCTCCCCCTCCCTCCCCACCCCAACCTGTGGTGCAGAGTACAAGTGGGTAGCTGCCCTCCCCAGAGGTGGCCGCATTCCGGCACAGCCAGCATGCTGGGTTCCTATTATCTGCTCTCCCCAGCCCAGATGGCCTCTCCTGCACTGAATGGGATGGCGATGCAGCAGCCCCTGCTGCCTGGCGAGGAGGAACGAAACCCATCGGTGGGTGTGTTCAGGAGCAGAGAGAGAACCGGCTGCCGCACCCAGAGGGCGAGAGCTCCCCGCGCAACAGGCGACTGGGAAGAGAAGCCACCAGCAGCTCTGACAGAGCAACTGCCCATCAGCGCCTGGCCTGGATCAATAATTCACAAAGCTCCGGGATGAAGTTTCTCATTTTAATTAGCTGAGAGCTCTCCGATTCCTGCTCCTGCTTCCTGGAAAAGGCTCCTCCTCACGGTGCCCGCCCGCCCCAGCAGCCAGACCCCATGGGGAGCCAGAGAACGGAAAGAGCATTTGCTCCCATCACACCAGATGTCCTGATATTTGGGGCTTTGTCTTTCTAGGGGCCCATTCCTGTGTGCGCCCCCCCCCCCAATTTTCCTGCTTGCTACCTGGCCACGCTAATTCCAGCCACCTCCCTTCATTTCCCCAGGCAGGTTCCACAGGGCGCAGTCTTCCCTTCCCAGGCCATGCAACCTGTGGCACTCCACCCAGTTGGGTCTACCCTGGTGGGGGTGGGGGGGGGGGGGGGGGGGGGGGGGGGGGGGGAGGGGGAAGGAAAAGCAATGCTTGGAGATCCTCTCATACCAGGTCTCTCCCTCTCTGGCTTTTCTGACCACTTGGACCACAAATGCACATGCAAAACGGATACTGTGCACGAGCAATTGCCTTGTTTGCACATACAGATCAGCTGACTGTGCATGACTAGCCCCACCCCCTCACATTTACAAAAAAATCAGGCCTGTCGTTCAGACAATCCGTGCACTGCCCACGTTGCAAATGGCACGCAAGGCACTGCTCCCGGCACCGGGAGCTCGGAATGCAGAGAAGCCACCCCTGCTGGAGTACAGCCTCAGCTTTCACCAACTACCCCGAGGTCCCCAGACTGGGGCTATTTCCTGGGCAACACTGCTGCTCTTGTACAGCACCTGCCATGGACCTAGAAGCACCTCAGGCAGTAACTATCCACCCTCCACACGCTCCCTGGAATGGAAGAAAATTAATTTCATGATTCCCCTCCTCGGTGCAGATAGAGAAACTGAGGCAGAGCGCGGTGGTGCTAGGGTCGTGCCAAAAGTCATGCAGCCAATTGGTGCTGCCCAGCTGCTGTCAGCAGAACCAGGAGTCCAGAGGGCCAGGCCTGTGCTTTAAATACTGCCCATGCTTCCCTCTTTCTGCAGAAGCAATTCTAGAGCACAGAGACATTTGACACCCAGCCCCTCGGGACTCCTGAGAGGGGCGGGAGGGAAGAGCCTGTTCTCACCAAAACAATTCCCGCCAGACCCCTCCCCTCCGACCTGAGCCCGTGGCAAGACTCACACATTAGAACCTGCCCCTTCTCCAGCCTGCCACTGCCCGTCGCCCCAGACCCCTGGCCTGCCACTCCCACACGGCGCCACTTGCCTGGCGTGAGGATCTCTGGCTTCTTGGTGGACGCTCGCCGAGGCTCCTTGGTGGGCGATTTCCGTGCTGAGGGCGCAAGGGTGGAAGAACGAGAGGAGGCATTTAGAGGCAAGAGATCCTCTCTGACTTGCACCATGGCTGGGACCGGATCTCCCCCATCAGCCAGCGCTGCTGCCCCATTCCCTACAGCGCCCCCTGCTGGGAGCGGCTTGGGCTGGTGTAACTTGGGACATCAACAGGCTGTCAGACATATCGAGTCTCCCAGTGGGCCGAGCCCATGAAACTGCCCCTTTCTCTCCCAGGAGAGAGCACCCTGCGTATTCCCTACCCCTGCGGACAGCTGAAGGCAGCGAGGGACCCCAGCATACTGAGTCAGTGATCCCGGAAGCAGCTTGACTGGAGTAGCTAGCAGCTGCCTTCCTAGCCAGTGATCCGGCCGCGTTTTGCACAGCGCCTCCCGCAGGGGTGGCTGAGGCTGGTCTCACAGCTGTCGCTCCTTCCGTGGAGCGTGGCTTCACTTGCACAAAAGCAGATCAATCAAGCCACCCCCCAGCACTTACATCAGTGTTTCTTAAACTTTTTAAAACCAAATAATTTTTTTTTTTTTAAATGAGGAACATCAAGGACCTTTTGTTAAGAAAAAAAAGGTCATAGGGTTGGGGAGAAAGTTATTGAGCAACAACAACAACAAAAAAAGTTGGGAGAAGTTTAGGGGGGGGGGAGTTTCCTGTTCCTTTAAGGGTGGCCACTTTGAACTCTGTTCTCCACTCATGGAACACAGTTTAAGAAACACTGACTTACATAGACGCTGCTGGCTCACACAGCGCCTCGCAGAGACGGACGCGTATCATCCCCATTTTACAGATGGGAAAATAGATCAGCGGCAGGGCCAGACATGGAACCGCTGTCCCAATGCTGCGCTCCACAATAGCCCATGCTGCTGCTCTGCCAGAGCCAGTGAGATACCTGGGCACTCAGCCGTGACATTGTAGATGGTGCATGTCTCCTTGGTGGGTTCTCCCTTCCCAATGCAGCCCCCAGCTCCTAAAGGAAACAGGAAAAACCTTTCACCAAACTCCCCTGAGCAAACAAGCCCCCCTGCTATTCCCCGAATGGATGGGGCTGGGAGTGGGGGGATGCCTGGCTGGTGCGGGGGGCAAGGAGAGACCATGTGCTTATAATAGCAACAGCAGCATTTAGAGCATGCGCTGGGGAAGCAGAGGCTAAGGACTCAAAGCCCAAACCTGCCCAGGACCATCTGGGTTTGAGTTTGGCCCATTCAAAAGACCTGACATCAGCAGCCTCAGCTACCCCAGGCCCTGCCCCACACAGCAGCACACCCATGCACCTGGAACACGGCCTCCTGCTGGGACACCCTCCAGGGTAGCGTTCGTCAGATGACCCACAAACCTCCCTCTCCACCAGATCCATGCAGCTTCCAGTAGGGCCCACGGTTTGTAGGAGCCCTAAGGCTGGGGAGAGCCCCATCATGGGCCGAGAGAGACCGGCCCTCACCCCTTGAGACGTTCCAGCGATCATATCTCCCATTATTCTCTCCCCAGCATTATACACATGGACATAAATACCAGCCTATTCGGGATCCAGACACCCCTGTAGTGCTGGGATCCTGGCGAAGCCAAGTCCCAGCTCAGCTGCATTCACTTCATCTCCTTTGGAAAGCCGGTTATTTTACCGCTTCAGCTACGGAGTCTTAAGCAGCTTCGCTCCAGACCTCGGTGGCCTTGCAGGCGCCCACCCCAGCCCATGGCGGCTGGACCAGGATAGGAGGACAGGCAGGCAGCTGCCCCCTGCCATTCGGATGCCACTTCGGGAGCCAGAGGTCAGGGCTGAATTGCGAGCGAAGCAGAAAAGGACACATCTCACCCAGAGGTGGCCGCATGTCACCAGCAGGCGACATGGCGTCGGGTTACTGCCAAGCTGGGGCTTCCCAGAAGAGTTGACCCAAGGTGGCGGGTGTTCTTCATCTCCTGGCTTTTCCGCCAGTCCAAGCGCTCCCGCGGGAGCCTCATCTTCCTCTCGCCCCACGTTCGGTCTCAGTTCTAGCAGAAAAGGACACATCTCACCCAGAGGTGGCCGCATGTCACCAGCAGGCGACATGGCGTCGGGTTACTGCCAAGCTGGGGCTTCCCAGAAGAGTTGACCCAAGGTGGCGGGTGTTCTTCATCTCCTGGCTTTTCCGCCAGTCCAAGCGCTCCCGCGGGAGCCTCATCTTCCTCTCGCCCCACGTTCGGTCTCAGTTCTCGCCCCCCCCTCCCCCCGCCATGGGGAAGTGGAGGGCTGCCC